TCTACCAAAAAAAAAAAAAAATAGCTGAGTATGGTGGCACATGCCTCTAGCTCCAGCTACAAGGAAGACTACGACAGGAGGATTACTTAAGCCCAGGAGGTTGAGGCTGCAGTGAACCATGATCACTCCACTACACTCCAGCCTGGGTGACAGAGCAAGACCCTGTCTCTCAAAAAAAAAAAAAAAAAAAAAAAAAAAGTTAATATGGCAACTTTTATGTTATGTGTATCAAACCACAAATTTTTCTGAAAAAAAATTTCAAAAATTAATAAGAGAATAAGTAGGTATTTGACAAAAACTGACAGTATAGTTACTTCTGGGGAGAAAGACTGAGGACCAGAACCAGAGAGATTTTTCACACGTTTAACTCAGCATTTTTTAACCATATGCATTTCTCAATTTTTCAGTTTAAAAGTGTAAGGGGCTTGCCAACAACCCCCCCACCCCCACCCACATCCCTGTCAAACAGAAGGGGTAGTTAAGAGCCAGATAGGGGCTTTTGTTTTCATACACACGTGTCAATCTTTAAACAGAGAACCTGTATTTAGGGCTTAATTCTCTTATTTGCTTCACTATAAGTGCAACTTTCTCAAAATTTAGGAAAGCCACTTATTCATAGGAACCCAAATGTTCAGTCTTTGGCACATGAAAAGAATAAAGCTTATCTGTCCATGGTATTGTTCCTGTTGTGTTTTTGGTTAGTAGTGATAGAGTTTTGCAAATTCATTTCTGCCCTGTCCACCGGGCTTGTGTCCAATATCTAGATAGATAGATAGATAGATAGATAGATAGATAGATAGATAGATAGACAGATCAATCGATTTCCAGTAATAACCGGATAACCCTAGGGTCCTGGTGCTACTGCAGTCTTTTACACATAAGGAAACTGGTACATAGGAGGGTAAATAACTTTCCTGAGGCCTCGATACATTCAGGTACAATTTTGCAGCCACTCTGCTACGAATCCAATGCCTGTGTGTTAAACCATCACACTGGGCTGCCTCCAGCAGCTTTTCAGGGCAGGGATGACATGAAGCCTATTGCCACGAAACCCGCAAGGAGAGTTGGACCAAAAGCCTTCCAGCTTGCTCCCTGTTGTGTCCCACAAATCACACAGCATCTGGCAGTAAGTCCCTGAAAGGCTTAGTGAATTAGCCAGACTTGCCATAACTAAGAGCTATTTACCTAAGCGTGCAAGTAAGTGGATGACTCCAGAGGAACTGAGTGTACAAACCCCTCTGACATCCTGAGTAACTAAGAAAGGACTGCTGGAAACCATCCACGGCACATCTGCCTGTCTTTTTCACCTCATCTCCTTGCACTCTGTAACAGGACATACTAACGAGGGCAAGATTTGTCTAATCCAACTGTGTCTCTGTAAGGTGTGCTCTTAACTTCTCACCAGTGGTGAGTCATTACTAATCGCCAATCCCCACATGAAGCCAAGATGTCCCTTCAAGGGGTAGCTAAGTACTTTAGCAAAGGCTGTCAACTTACCATGTTTGACAAAAGTAACCTAAGTGGAAGGACACACTTATCACTGCCTTTTTCCCTTGACCCACAGAAGGGTCCAAAGTGGAAACCTCTTCCAGAACATAAAGGCTGCAATTAATGCCACCCACCCACAGCTTATAAATAACACAGCGCAACCACCTAGTGTTCTGAGGCAAGGATGAACACACACAGTTGTGCGCACATGCAGCTTCGCATCTAACCACCTCCCGCCTCTGTCCCTCCATCAACCAGGTGCCTGATGTCTTCAGTGACTCTTAAAATTCTCAAAGCAGGAAGTTAAACATGCCAGACACATCAGCAGCAGCACCACATGGAGCCAAGCATTTGCTAAAGTAACAGCTTATAATCAAGGTGTTTTTATAAATTATTATTACCGATGGCAGATTACTCGGCATGATTATCCGGTTTTCACTTAGGTCTTTTCTCTGATGGAGCAGTACTGAGACTGACTTTCCTAAACACACGTGCTCACTACTGTTCATGGAGTTCTGTTCTGATTTTTCTAGGAATATAGGTTTACTCATCATGCCCATTAAGTTATGAAATACCGGTGCTCCTGTCCTTCCACTGCCAATTGCAAGATATCCTCGCCTTTTCTCAGTTCTTCACACACACACACACACACACACACACACACACACACACACACGTCTAGAAATAGATATATCTATATCTGTTATCTATATATCTATAGATACAGATATATCCAGATAGAGAGATAGAGACAGATCATAAATTCAGAATAACAAATACATCATTTGTCTGTTATCTGCACCTTGTTATTTTTGGCCTCTAGACCACTAGTTCTCAAAATCTGGCTTGAATTCCTATCACTGGGAGGGCTTGTAGAGGCACACTGTGGGCCCCACCCCAGAGATTCTGAGTCAGTAGGTCTAGAGTGAAGCCTGAAAACTTGAATTTCCAACAAGTTCCTGAGTGATGCAAATGAGGCTGGTCCAGAACTCACACTTTGAGAACCACTGCCTGACAGGAATCGCTTCAAAACCCATCAAGAGGGATGATGATTTTTGAACAGCAGAGAGAATTAAAAGACACTGAAGAAAATTCAAAACTATGCAGGAAGAACAGGGACTTAAACAGTAAGAATTAGAAAATACTGAAGTCACTAAGAGAGAAGGGCTTTGTGGTGAACCTTCAAAATCATCATCAAGCTGGTAGAGCGGAGGACTGTAGGCGCACACCCCAAATCATCATCACCATCATCATCGCTGGAGCTCTCTGCACGCTGAGCTTTGGGTGTGCATCTGCCAACTTCTGCTTGACTTGAATATGTGACGCTTCATGTATTTATAAATAAGCTGGGCAACGCTTTGCTTCTTCTGAACCTCATGCCCCTTTCTTGGTCCTTGTTGCTCCTCCAAGTTCACTCCTTTGTCTCACGCTTGCATCTCTAGCCACCAAAAGTCTGAGCACAAGGATGGGGTCTTCCTTTGCCCACACTGAAGCCTGCTCTCAATAAATCTGTGAGATTTCAAGATTGACTCATTCACACAAAGGTGTAAAATGGCTAAGAGTTTTCAATATGTGACTCCTCTTAAGAAAAATCGATTTGAAATGTATTGTTTTCTCATGTAATTATAAATGTGTAAATTTTACAGATGTTTCTGGAGGATGTTTAAAATTGGCACAGATGTAGAAAAGCTGAAGCATGTGGCTGTCCTGTCCACAGATTCCCCCAAACCCTGAGGCAGTCCTGCTCGTAAGGCATGTGTCATGGAGTTGCCTTTCCCCACTTTATAAACGTGATTGCTGTCATGAGAGAGGGAGCACCTGGAACCACAAATAAAAGTGGGCCCCTCTCCCCTCTGCTAGGACTGCATGAGGCAAACAAAGGGCTTCCAGTCTGGCCATGCCTTCAGGGACCCACCAAATTCTTCCAAAGGACAGTCTGCAGTAGTGACATGCTCACAATCCTCTGAGTGACCACAGGCCTGAGACCACATCCAAGTATATTTGCACCTGTACTGCAGCCTTCACATAGGTGATGCTGCCCATGCATTCTTCCAGGCAGGGCTGGATCTTCACTCATGTGGGCCTGTGGACATGAGCGGTCTTTACTCGTGCCTTGTCAGTGATTGTACTGTGCCCACCATGCCCCACAGCCCGCAACGCGTCTGTGCCTTCTCACAACATCACAACAGTATCAGAGAGGAGGGATGAGATCCAGGCAACATGATAAAAGCATCATTGTCCTGAATATAGCACCATTTGCTTTAATCAAAAGGAAGAGGGTAGGTGAGCTTGGGCAAAAAACAGATTAAGAAAGAGTGACAAGAAAAGCAACATGCAAGAGTAATAGCCCAGAACGCCCAAACAAAAGTGCCAGGCCACACATCTGCCCCGGAGCTTGGGAGTGGGTACCCCTGTGTGTATCACGCTCCCACACACACCTGCTAAGGATGAAGCTTTAGAGACAGCCATGCAGTCCAGAAGTGTTACTACTCTTATTAACTGTCTAGGCAATCAGGGAAGCAGAGAGTGTCCAAGAGGCTGACCGAAGACCACGAGCCAGGCACAGCAGAACCCCCGTGTCTGTGCTAAGACTGCCGTAGGGCCCTCCAGGACCTCTCCCCGAACCTCCAGGTCACTCAGCACAGGAAGGACCCTAGCATAACAACAGCAAGGCATGAGTCAGACGGCTTTGGGCTTCTCACGCCTTCACTCAAGAGTAACGAGCATCTCTTTAAAGTCTTGGTTGACTAAAGATTTTAGAGTGGCCACTTGAGGCTGAATACACAGGACAATAGAATGTCTCTTAAGATTCCAAAAGGACCTCCACAGCACAGCGCCGAGCCTGCCCGCAAAGCCCTCCCTGCCCTTTCATCACATCATGAAGGCTTGTGCTTGGCAGGAAGCAATGGCTGCAGCAGGCCCTGCCAATTGTTTCAGCCATCACCGCTTTATCATAAGCACAGCTGCATGTTTTGGCATCCACTGAACAAGTCATCTCTCTTGAGTCTAAAAATAATCCCAGCAAACATGGAGAGCCAGTGCAACATTTAATTTTTTAAACTAGGAAGTAGTTTGGTTCACAAGAAAAAGAATACAAATGTATCTATGCTGTGACTATGAAACCCCATTTATATGGCAGTAGAAAGCCAAGAGAAAAGAGAAAAAGTTAAATGTAAAATTCTTTAGGATTGTAGAATAATGGATGATTTTGTCCCCCATAAATATTTCTTAAGATCTCACCTTCAAAAATAACAAATGTAACACACGCTCATCACAATCTCTGAAACTATGCAAATAAAGAAAAAGCTAATAAGCTTTTCCACATACCCTCTCCCCATTTATTCCCAAAATCTCACTACAACCAACTTGACACCCCAGCATTTGCCTTATACGCCTGTCCCCTTACTCAAAGGAAAATACAGACACATAGGAGCTTTCAGTTGTTATAACTTCAGGAAAATTGAAGAAAGATGGATAGACAGAGACATAGATACCCACATATCTGTGCTCACCCTCTCTCTTTCTCTTTAATTTTTCTCATTTAAAACATTGTCACACTCCTCCAGGTCAAGAGGAAAACTCATTCTTCTGAATAGTTTCACAGTATTCCACGGTATGAATGTTCTTGTTGTCAGGCTGTTTTCAGGTTTTCACTGTAAAAAAACAACGCAGATATCACTGTGAATGGCAGTAATAACCTCCAAAAATTTTCCCCTTCATACAAGCAATAAATACATTGGCAAAACTGTCATAATCATTCTTTCCTGACCTCTAGAAATTAACCAAGGCTTGCATTAATCCAGGGATCCTCTGCTCATGAAAAATGGCTAAATCTAGGCAAGAACAGAGGGTTTTGTGACATTTTTAATTGCCTTATTCCCATCCCCTCCTCTCTTGTTCCTTGGTAGCCTTAAAAACCAACAGCCAGCAATCACAGTGAAAACCAGAAGCCTGAAACCACTGAAGGACAAATAAAGGGATTGAACTCCTTGAAAGCCCTATTCTCAGAGAACTGTCATTTTGCAACCTGTCAGGTGGGTCTTTGAAATATCCCACTCCCAAGGCTTGTCTTTATTTGACTGACTCAAATAAAATACAAACAGTGCAAATGGCCTTTTCTAGGATGAAGGGGAGGCACTTCTAGAAAACACATCAGTAGCAATTGTTACACATTATGGCTGCCTGAAGCAGTGGCTAACAGGTGGAATGAGGCTAACTAAAAAATGTAAAGTAAAAGCTGAGTAATGAGATGTCCACATAAGCCTGACATATTTCTGGCCTAGAAGGCCACATATATGTGTAAGGCTACGTGCATGTCCAGGGCTATGGGCATTCTCAGAAAAGACCTGAGAGGTTCCCAAGTTCTTGCCTCTGGCTGACCTTGAGGCTCTGTGCAAGCAGCAATTGATGGCTAAGGTAGACACAACAACCATACCACTGACCATTAAAGGCAGGCCTCAATACACATAGAGCCCCTTATTGGTTCCAAATATTTGGAAACTTATTGGTTCCAGATATTTAAGGAATCTGCCATTCAATCATTAGCCAACCTCCACACTTAACTGAGCAGAGATTTCAGCAGTTACACGTGACAAATAATCTAGGCTGACAAAATTAGTTCTGAAAAGCCGCTAAACAAACAACAAAAAACCTTGGATGGAGAGGGGGAGAAAAGTTGATTCATACGGCTGCCACATTACATTATTTAAAATGTCCAGGTCTTAAGAAAAAAAACTATACTACATGTAAAGAAACAATAAGTTATGGCCCAAACACAGGAAAAAAAAAAGCAATCAAAAGAAACTATACTTGAGGAAGCCCAGACATTATACTTACCAGAGAAAGACTTGAATCATCAATTTTAAATATCTCTAAAAAACTAAGGGCAAATATATCTTAAAAAGAAAAGTCTGAAAATGATATCTTACCAAATACAGAATATCAATAAAAATATAGAAATCATTTTTTTAAAAACAGTAAATAGCAATTCTGGAATACAAAAATTATAAAAACTGAAATGAAGATTCACTGGAGGAGCCTAACAGCAGATTTGAGTAGCCTGAATTAAAAATTAAGATTCTGAAATATAGATTAATAGAGGTGATCCAGTGTGAGGAACAGAAAAGAAAAAGAATGACAAAAAATGAACAGATTCTCAGAGACCGTTAGGATTCCATGAGGCATATAAACACATGCATAACAGGAGTCCAAAATGGAGACAAGAGGAAGGGATGAAAAGCATATTTGACAAAATAATGACCAAAATATCTGCAAATGTGATGCAAAACATTAATCTACACATCCAAGAAACTAAGCCAACTCCAAGGAAAATAAACGCAAAGAAAGTGAGACCAAGACGCATCACAAACAAAGTGTCAAAAGACAAAGACCAAGAGAACATCTTAAAAACAGCAAGAAAGAAGCAACTCATCATATACATTAACTCCTCAAGAACATTAACAGCTGATTTCTCATCAAAAATGATGGCAGCCATAAAGCAATAGAATGACACATTCAAAATGAGGAAAGGAAAAGACTGTTACCCAAGAATTCTACATCCAGCAAAATTGTTATTCAGAAATAAAGGAGATATTAAGATAAACAAAAACTGACAGAATCTATAGCTAGCAGACCTGCCCTACAACAAAAATTACAAGGAGTCCTTTGGGCTAAAATAAAAAGACATAGTAACTCAAAGGAGATAGTAACTCAAATCTACATAAAAAAATAAAAGTACTAGTAAAGCTCAATACATAGGGAATTATAAAAGAGAGTATAATTGTATATTTTGTTTGTAACTCTCTCTTTTTGCCTACCTAATTTAAAATGCACTCCATAAAGTAATAGTCATAAATCTGTGCTGATGGACATACAATGTACAGAGATATCATTTGTATAACAATAACAGGACAAAGGAGAGGAAAGTGAATGGAGCATTATGGCAGCAAACTTTTTATATATTACTGTATTAGTCCATTTACACACTGCTGATAAAGACATGCCCAAGACTGGGAAGAAAAACAGGTTTAATTGAACTTACAGTTCCACATGGCTGGGGAGGCCTCAGAATCATGGTGGCAGGTGAAAGGCACTCCTTACATGGCAGCAGCAAGAGAAAATGAGGAAGGGGCAAAAGCAGAAACCCTTGATAAACCCATCAGATCTTGTGAGACTTATTGACTATCACAACACTAGCATGGGAAAGACTGGCACTCATGATTCAACTACCTCCCCCTGGGTCCCTCCCACAAACGTGGGAATCTGGGAGAGAGCATTTAAGTTGAGATTTGGATGGGGACACAGCCAAACCATATTATTCTACCCCTGGACCTTTCAAATCTCAGGTCCTCATCTTTCAAAACCAATCATGCCTTCCCAATAGTCCCCCAAATCTTAACTCATTTCGGCATTAACCCAAAAGTCCACAGTCCAAAGTCTCATCTGACACAAGGCAAGTCCTTTCTGTCTATGGGCCTGTAAAATCAAAAGCAAGCTAGTTACTTCCTAGATACAATGGGAGTACAAGTATTGGGTAAATACAGCCATTCCAAATGAGAGAAATTGGCCAAAACAAAAGGGTAACAGGGCCCATGCAAGTCTGAAATCCAGCAGGGCAGTCAAATTTTAAAGCTCCAAAATGATCTCCTTTGACTCCAGGTCATGCTGATGAAAGAGGTGGGTTCTTATGATCTTGAGTGGCTCCAACCCTGTGGCTTTGCAGGGTACGGCCTCCCTCCCAGCTGCTTTCATTGGCTGGCACTGAGTGTCTGTGGCTTTTCCAGGCACATGGTGTGAGCTATTGGTGGATCTACCATTCTGGGGTCTAGAGGACAGTGGCCCTCTTCTCACAGCTCCACTAGGCAGCATCCCACTCAAATTAATCATCTAAACTTCCATCTTAAAGAACTATAAAAAAGGAAAACAAACTAAAAGCAAGTCAGAAAGAGGGAAATAACAAAGACTAAAGTGGAAATTAATAAAATAAGAAGTTAAAAAAATAGATGAAATTAACAAAATAAAAAGTTGTTTCTTTGAAAGATCAACAAAATTTACAAACCTTTATCTAGACTGATCAATATAAAAGAGAGTAGACTCAAATTAGTAAAATTAGGAATCCAAGAGGGGATATTACTGCTGGATCCCTTCCTTACTCCATATTTTAAAAAATTAACTCTATAGACATCCAAATACAAGAAGCTCAAAGAACACCTGGGAAATTCATTACAAAAAGATCATCACCTAGGCACATAGTCATCAGGTTACCTAAAGTTAAGATGAAGGAAAGAATCTTAAGAGCTGCGAGACAAAAGTATCAAATAATCTATAAAGGAAAATCTATCAGAATAACAGCAGAATTCTCAGCAGGAACCTTGCAAAACAGAAGGGATTGGGGTCACATATTTAGCACATCTTTAGTCTCCTGAAACAAAATAATTGTCACCCAAGAATTTTGTATCTGGCAAAACTAAGCTTCATAAGTAGAGGAGACATAAAGTCTTGCTCAGACAAACAAATGCTGAAAGAATTCACTACTCTTAAGCCAGTACTATAAGAAGTGCTAAAAGTTCTAAATCTTAGATCAAAACCTTGAAATACACCAAAATAGACCCTCCTTAAAACATAAATCTCACAGGGTATATAAAATAATCACACAATGAGGGGGGTAGCGGGGGTGGGAGGATGGCAGGGAATGCTAGTTGTTAAGGCAGCAACTAGCATAATGAATAGGACAACACCTCACATCTCAATACTAACATTGAATGTAAATGGCCTAAATGCACCACTTAAAAGATACAAATTGGTAGAATGGATAAAAACCCACACACCAAGTATCTGCTGTCTTCAAGAGACTCTCCTCACACATAAGGATTCATATAAACTTAAGGTAAAGGGATGACAAAAGATATTCCATGCAAATGAAAACCAAAAGCAAGCAGAAGTAGTTATTTTTAAATCAGACAAAAGAGACATTAAAGCAGCAACAGTTAAAAAAGACCAAAAGGGATATTACATAATGATAAAAGGATTAGTCCAACAGGAAAATATCACAATTCTAAATATATATGCACCTAACACTGAAGTTCCCAAGTTCATAAAACAATTACTACTAGGCCTAAGAAATGAGATAGATGGCAACACAATAATAGTGGGGACTTCAGTACTCCACTGATGGCACTAGACAAGTCATCAAGAGAGAAAGTTAACGAAGAAACAATTGGCTTAAACTATACCCTAGAACAAATAGACTTAACAGATGTTTACAGAACATTCTACCCAACAATTGCAGAGTACACATTCCTTTCATCAGTACATGAAACATTCTCCAAGATAGACCATATAGTAGGTCACAAAACAAGTCTCAATAAATTTTTTAAAAATCGAAATTATATCAAGTATCCTCTCAGATCACAATGGAATAAAACTGGAAGTTAACTCCAAAAGGAACCCTCAAAACTATACAGATACATGAAAATTAAATAATCTGCTCTTGAATGATCTTTGGGTCAACAATGAAATCAAAATTAAAATTTAAAAATTATTTAAGCTGAATAGGATAGTTAACGTATCAAAACCTCTGAGATACAGCAAAAGTGGTGCTAAGAGGAAAGTTCACTGCGTTAAATGCCTACATCAAAAACTATGAAAGAGCACAAAAAAGACAATCTAAGGTCACACCTCAAGGAACCAGAGAAACAAGAACAAACCAAACCAAAACCCAGCAGATGAAATAACAAAGATCAGAGCAGAACTATATGAAACTAAAACCAACAAAAATACAAAAGACAAATGAAACAAAAAGCTAGTTATTTGGAAAGACAGACTAAATGACAGACCATTAGTGAGACTAACCAAGCAAAGAAGAGAGAAGATCCAAATAAGCTCAATTAGAAATGAAAGGGAAAATATTACAACCAATACAATGGAAATACCAACGGTCATTCAAGACTGCTATGAACAGCTTTTCATGTACAAACTAGAAAATCTAGAGGAGATAGATACATTCCTGGAAACATGTTGCCTTTCTAGATTACATCAGGAAGAAACAGAACTCTGAAAGGACCAATAACAATCAGCAAGAGTGAAACAGTGATAAAAAAATCATAACAAAAAAGAGTCCAGGGCCAAATGGATTCACAGGTGAATTCTATCAGGCATTCAAAGGACAGTTGGTACCCGTCTTACAGAAACTATCACAAAAGACAGAGAAAGAGATAATATCTAAATCATCCTATGAAACCAGTATCCCTAATACCAAAACCAGGAAGGAACATAACAAAAAAACTACAGACCAATATCCCTGATGAACATAGATGCAAAAATCCTCAACAAAATACTAGCTAACCAAATCCAACAGCATATCAAAAAGATAATACACCATGATCAAGTGGATTTCACACCAGGGATGCAGGTATGGTTTAGCATAAACAGGTAAATAAATGTAATACATCACATAAGCAATATTAAAAACAAAAATCATATGATCATTTACATAAATGCAGAAAAAGCGTTTGACAAAATCCACATTTGGAAGGAAAGAGGGAAGGAAGGAAGGAAGGAGGGAGGGAGGGAGGGAAGGGAAGGAAGGGAAGATAGCCCACAAAATGGAAGAAAATATCCAGAAATAACATACCTGATAAGAAAAATTTCTATCTAGAATATATAATGAAGTCTTATATCTCAATAATTTAAAAAAAAACCCATTTTTGAAATAGACAAGGTATTTGGATAGACATTTCTCCAAATATATACAAATAGTAAATAAGTACATAAAAGGATGTTCCATATTACTAGTCATTGGAGACATGCAAATCAAAACTACACTTTATACCCTATAGGAAGGCTAGAATAAAAGACAGACAATAACAAGTCTTGGCAAGATAGGGAGAAATGGAACACTCATATATTGCTGGTGGAACAGCCACTTTGGAAAACAGTTTTCACAGGTCCTCAAAATGTTACACATGGAGTTATCATGTGGCTGAACAATTCCACTTATAAGTATACAACCAAAGGAGCTGACAATGTGTGCACTCAGGCACTTGCACATAAATATTTGTAGCAGCATTATTTATTATAGCCAAAAGGTAGAAACAACTCAAATATCAACTGATAGACAAACAAAATGTGGTACTTCCATAAAATGGCACAGTATTTGGCCATTAAAAAGAATGAAGTAGGGCTGGGGACAGTAGCTCACACCTGTAATCCCAACACTTTGGGAGGCCAAAGCGGTGGATCACCTGAGGTCAGGAGTTTGAGACCAGCCTGGCTGACATGGAGAAACCCCATCTCTACTAAATATACAAAAACTAGCCAGGTGTGGTGGTGTGTGCCTGTAGTCCTAGTTACTTGGGAGTCAGAGGCAAAAGAATCACTTGAACCCAGGAGGCAGAGGTTGCCGTGAGCCAAGATCATGCGCACTG